GGCCTTGAAGTGCAGATTTCATGGCAGGCGCAGTACTTTGTGGGCCTCGAAGTGCAGATTTCGTGGACCGAATGCCAAAGCCATCAAAAGCGAAAAGCCACCAAAGGCCGAAGGGATTCCAATAACAGAATATCTCATGGCCGTCTGTGAGTTGCAATCGTCTGGATAAAGGCAATACCGTCTAACATCTGGTAGCTGTGCCTCGGACTTCATTCCTTCGAAAATAGACTAGTAGCAAACAGCCAGAAGCCACGAAAGCCACGAAAGCCAAAAGCCACAAAAACCACAGAAGCCACGAAAGCCAAAAGCCACAGAAACCAGAAGCCACGAAAAACAAAAAACACTAAGTTACATGGCCCTCCCTAAATAAATCAATATACTGCATCTTCCACAATTGGCTTCACATGGCCATGCTTGGCTTTCTTGGACCATGGCTTCATGGCCACGCCGATGGCCGGGTCACCGACCTCCTGCAGCGCATCCCTCAGCATTCCGTTGCCCACCGCATCCGTCAATGCACTAAAAGAGCTCTCCGCGAACGAGGCCATGCGGTGAAGGGTGCTAAGCACCTCTGACAAGGCTTGCCAGACCTGCAGGGGTGCAGATGAGTGCAGCAAACCTGCAACCTGCCGAACTCCACCTTTTCATATTTGCCAACTGAGATGAAAACAACAGAAGCATGCAAAACCCATCCGCCCCAACAGAAATGACTTCAGAAACTTCAGAAAGGATGAACTTCAACATTCAGCTTTCCCACATGCGTGCTCTTCTCGCCCTTGTAGGCTGACACCAGGCCCAAGAGTTGCGCCATGGGCAGCTTCCCCTGCTTGGCAAAGGCCAAGGCGTCCAAGAGCAAACCAATGCGATCCAGGGCGTTCACCTCACACCGTTCACCGAAGGCGCCGCGCGGAACATGGTCCGATGTCTGCTTTGGTCGCTCACAGCGATGGGTGTGTCCGCTGGTCGTTCGGGAAAATAGAACATAGGAAACTGCATAGGAAAACAGGACAAAACGTGGCTTCTCGTCAAATTGTCATACCCTATTGAAAAAAATGAGGAAAACAACATCTACAACCCTTGAGTCAAAGCAAGCCCGCCAAATTCAAGCTGCGCACCTGTCCATTGCGCACCGCCTGACTCAAGGATCCATACAAGGAAGAGTCGTAGAGCACTCGGTAAGGCGCCACTTGGCCAAAGTTGAACTTCAGGAAGCCATCCTTATGGAGGGTATGGGCGGGTTGGATGGTTGACACACTGATGGGCTTTGCGCAGGGTTCCCCGTGTTATAGGTCCACTGTTCTGGAGTCATGTTGGTTTTTTGTAGGGTAGCAAGATCTAGCAAGTAACACGTCATGATAAGGTGGTTGCCGCCAAAGTGCCAAAGATGTTTTTCTCCCTTGACGGCTTGCGGTTGTTATTCGGTGTGGAGTCTTGCATCCCTCGCCCTGCAATCAAGCCTTCAGTAGACACCACCGAAAGGGTCGAAAGCCTTCGTGGTCGGTCAAATTATGCTCCCTTTCTCATCTTTTCACTCAACACGTTGCCTTCACATCTTTTCACCTTCTCGGCCAAAGATCCTTCTTTTCCCATCTCATCTCTGGACTTTCCATGATCAGGTGATCGTCGGTCCCTCCAGGCCCAGGTAGCAATGGGATCTGCCAAAGCTTCTTGTGGTTTCCCTCCTCCGGTTCTTCGCTGCCATCGGCCAGGAACCACCGCTGAGAGAGAAGGAGCCTGGAGGACCCGCCAGTTCCTGAGAGAGGATTCGCCAGCCGAAATCTCCTAAATAGTATTCCAAACTCACCGGTGCTCGTATTAGTAGCTCATGACTCATAGACCCCTCTTGAGCCGCTCATCAGTGGCGCAGCCCGGTCGGCTTCTGCAACCTCCATGTTTCGTGGTCCCTTTCTTTTTTGTGCCGTTCCACTGACGGTCAGATCTAAACTCATGACGGTCAAACGAAAACGACATCTGGTGAAATCGGGTGACACCGAAGTGCTTCTTCACCAAGGCTCGACTGGTCTTCGTCTCGTTGACCATCAGGACGGGGAAGCCCTGCTGCTTCGTCCAGGAGCTCATCATGGCCATCAGGGGCATCCCAGAGACTTCCTCCCAACCTGTTGTTGGATGTGGGATGGAGGTTGAGGCGCGCGAGAGCACGTGAGGTGGATGGAGGCTGAGGCGATGCGAGGATGTGAATGATAAATGTCCGCTTGTTAAAGGCCACTGCCATTTGGGTCCTCTTTGCTCAAGCATGTGCAAACACAGGGGGCTTGAGAACAAGTGGGCAGAAAGTTGGAGATCCGCTGGTCGCTGGTGATTTGTGGGAGTGGTTAAAAAGCTTTCACTTGTTCAGTCGCTGAAAAAACCATGACATACCGTACCATGAGAATCAAGAACCTGCCAACATGCAAAGGTGTTCCTTCGTTCTATCAACATATTGTGTTTCTGAGGTGCCCATGATGACATTATGACATGTTCGAAACCAAACGCATGAGTTTTGTGCTATGTCACAAACATGTAAAAATCACTCTGAGCATCAAAACCCAGGGTTTTCTCGCCAAACTTCGTCTTTTCACGTGGGACCTGCGTTTCTTTTTATAGTGGTTGCTTATCTTTTCACATGTTCAGCGGGTGTTAACTGTTATGTACATCTACGTATTTATACATGCATGAATGTTATTAATGTGAGAGTTTGGCCATGTTTGACAACACCAAGGGTGCAAGGAAGTCCTCCAAAGAATCGTGTGCTTCACTATGTTTCACTCACACCTTCAGCAAGTTGGTCCAACAAGAGCTGCGCAACCCACCAACATGACGAGTTGCAGGACCATAGATCTGTGGAGTCGGTGTTTCCTCGCGGGTTCTGAAGAATGCTGACCACAAAGGGGCCGAAGGCCAAGTTCAAATGCTTGGAAAACACGGAGTTAAACAAAGGAAGTGGATTACTAACATGTTGGCAGCGTGCTTGATTTGACAGTTGTCGGCAAATGTCAATATACTTCATGATACTTCACGGAAATGATTCCTACTCTTGAACTGAACATTGCACAAGTCAGGACCTGCTGAAATCAGACTCTGATACATCAATTTCGCTTGGCACCACCTGGGCTCCTTTTTTCGGTTGCAGGCTTTACTGTGTCATCTATTCCAAATTCTGCATCGTTGTACCATAGAACTCCGCCCGCCATTTTTTTGACTTCCCTCTTCAACCGTGAGCCACGCCCATGTAGACAAATCCGTGAAATGCGCCGGGGCTCTGTAGGCAAAGCGCCGCATGTAGAGGCCCAGGCCTTTCCGGAAGAGTTCCTTCCCCAAAACCCCGTTGACCATGCGCACCACTGAGCCACCTGAGCGATCCGCCATCGGAACGAGCGAATCGGAGGAACAAGCGAAACAAACGACCTTGCGCAGGTTTGTCATATCCACTTTGGGGTGGGATGGGGGGGGTAACTGTGCAAATGTCATGTGTTCAGCAGAAGGTTCACATGCCATCTTAAAAGTGCCAGTTAACCAAAAACAACATATGAGATGCCATCTTGAAGGTGAACGCAAATACTTCTTGTGAGCATGTAGTGAACAGTTCCCAAGACCAATTACTTGCAAAAAACAGCTTTCCTCCATGGTTCCCCACCTGTCAGGCTCCGGATGGCAGTGTTCCCCCACCTGTCAGTGCTCCATGGTTGGTCTTGCTTCATGTTCTTTTGTGTTTGCCCTGTGTCTCTGTGCCTGTTTCCCCAACACACGGGAGACAACGAGGGGATGCCAGCGATGCTGGGCTCCTAAGGCCTGACAGGCACAGGCTGCCTGTCCCCTTGAGGCAAACGTGAATAGCAATGGACTTCTATGCCATTTGGGTGTGCTCCATGCTTCCTTGTGTTGCTGTCCTCTGCGTTCCTTCCCTTTCCTTCCCCATCCTGTTTTTTTCTGGCGCCCCATTTTTGGTTCCTGTCCTTCCTTTTCTTATCCTCTCAACGAAGTGTGTTCTACAAATGAACGCTCCCTTTGTGCAAAAGCAAGCCAAGAACAACCACAAACAAAGAGCATAGAAAAATGCATATGTCACCTCAGTGTACTGCAAATTTCCCTGTGCGAATTGATCTAAACTTCTCCATCCAATACTCCTCACTTTCAAGTGCCATTTTAGTGTCCCCGTTCTGGCGATGCTTTTGAAGGTGTTTGTTATCTTAAATGGCGTTTTCCCAATGCCATCTTAAATAGCGTGGGTAGGTATGATGTATATATATATATGTATGATGTGTATATGAACTACAGTATCTCAAGGACTACCAGTAGCATCCTTTGAGTACGTACACATCATAGATGGCTCAATCAACTGATGCGTGTGAAAAACACCACACGGCGAGACTCGGCACCTTTGCAGTAGGAAATGGCATCAAAGACCTCGTCCACCTGCCCAACTTGCGTCAGGCCGGCACGAAGAACACAGCCGAGCCCAGGAGTGGTTTTGTCGCGGATTGAGAGGCTCGATGGCACAAACCCCAATGTCGGTGGTTTCTACGGACCCGCATCTAAAGGACATCTTGGGTTCTGTGCCATTTCCTTCTTGAAACCACTGTAAATGTGTTTGTTTGGCATCTTTCGGTCGTTTCTATGGCCCGGTGCGTCTGTTCCATCTCGACCGTCCCGGTGCGCGGAGCGGAAATTACACCGGATCCGCAGATGAACGTCCCCTTGGGTTTGCCACTGGGAACGACGCGGAAGAATCAGCGTCGTAAGGGTACAAAGGTTTTAATGCGGCACCGGATCCCAGCTGATGGGGGTAAACCTGTTCTGATGTCTTTGGTGAACTTTTTGGATGCTTTGGCTGTACACGCCTCGAAAGCACAACAGGCAGCTATCGTTTCCTGAAAGCTCGGAATATTCATGCGAAAAATTCGACCTCGTATCCTCAAAACCACTTTTGGGCGTGAAACGTTAGTTACCTCATAGGGATCAATTGAGACTTGAAGTGTGTGCTGCTGCACCAGCAAAACACTTCCACTGCACACTCGCTTTACGCATTATATACCTTTATGCATTTTGAGATGTACACATCAAAAATCAAATACTGGATGCATCAGCACTGGATGCATCAGCCTGACCTTGATCACATCGGGATCCTGAAGCTCAAGGAGCATCAATTCTATTATGCTTAGTAGCCGCCTTGAAGGCATGTCACCTAGCAACTCACTAGATTCATCCTCTCTGAATGGAAGTGTTATTGCTTAGCGTGACAATGCGTGACATGTCCACAATTACCCTAAAGAACAAAGCAGAAACACTAAGTCACTAAGGTTTATGCACATATTATATACTGTAATAAGGAAAATGGGCTCAGTGAAGACTCCTACTGAGAAACCTCGTCCACACCCCGTGCTCCCGTTGAACGGCGGAGTTCGACCGGAGACGGCTCGGCCTCCTTGGCTCGGCGGATGGGCACCTCCACTGGATGAGAACTGCGCAAGGCGTCCAGTTGCAACGCTCGGCTTTGCTCCTCCACAACCTGGGCGAGGAGGTCTCGCCGAGGAATCTGGTGGAAGTTGTCTGGGAGAGTCTGGCTTCTGCATGGAGGGGTTTTTGTTAGATGATTCATGATCCTACTGTTCAGTCAAGGGCTTGTTTGGTCTTAAAATATATTTGTCTTAAATTATTCTGGGTGACTATGAGTTTCAATATGGGCTGCAGGGCGAGGATGTGTTCCACACTTTGGCTTAGTTAGTGTACCCTTTTTCATTCACAAGAGAGGTTGCAGCATGTTGCGAAAAGCAACTGCAACAAACAAAAGTGTTGCTTTCAGCAAAGCCAAGGTTGACGTACTGCTCCCAGATATGCCATTCTGGAAATAGGACGTCCACAGCCTGAGTCCTTGGATTCCATCATTTTACACATCACACTCTCCCGCATGGTCTGACATCGAAATGGTGCTCCAAGCAGTTGTGTAGCCACTGGCAAGGGTGCTCCAAGTACGAAGCAAACCGCTTTCATGACGTCAGGTTTTGCAAAGCCACACGAACCCGCATCAACAAGACAAGAATCTGCATCCAGTTGGCAAAGCCTTCATTAAGCCAGAGCTGATCCCACCATTCCATGGTCACCAAGTTTCCGAACCTGTGACCGCAAATGCGTTCTGCAGCAAAATCAAGCAACAGTGTTTCGATCACTGCCGTGCGCTCGAGTCGTTTCTATTGAATCTAATCCGACAAGTCTCTCTATTTGATGAGGTTGTTTTTTCCGCTTTTACTGTATTGTTGTCCAACAAATTCGTTAGTTTTTGCTGTCAATTTCTTCTGAGTTCACACTGAGTTCTGTGTCTGTCTTCTCAGCACCCTTGCCCTTCAGAACCATCAAGATGCTTCCCAAATTGGCATCCCAAAAGCTGAACTCAAACAGCCTGAAATCCCTCAGCCAAGTATCCAAACAAAAACAAGCTAGTCGATCTTGAGATGGCTTCAGCCAAGTTCCCACTTAAATGAACCCCACCAAAAAAAGTAAAAAAAACAACATTCCCATTGAATGCCCTTGAGAATACAGTAATACATGTCCAAAGGTAACGTCATTGACTTTCGTCATGTCACTTCCGCAGTGGTCGCGTCCGCTCCCAAGGCACCACATGTGCGAGAGCTCGTGGGTGACCACTGTGGCAATGCGCACCTTCCGCGCCACGCCCACGGTGGTCTCGTTACCTGCCACGTCGTCCGCAGCGGCTACGACGTCGTCCCGGGGGAGGTCCTGATCGTCATCCTCCAGGTCCCGTTCGGCCGGGTTTTCTAGCTTCGGGACTGCCTGATTTTGGAACAGGATTCACCCTTTGGGCGTAGAGCTAACAAGCAATACACAACATACCTCTAAAACTGCAGGCTGACAATAGAGGTGCTCCTGTTGAGACTGGCAAGTCATGGAGAATCTAGATGAGACCATCCATCCGGAGCTCATGATAGTTTATCTAGCCCCTGTGGGTTGAGATGTTCCATAATATGATGCTCGAGCATGAAACGCGGAAACCACTCCATCATTGTGGCCATGGGTGGCTTCAGTTTGGGATCCACCACCCTTCAGACCGTTCGTCGGTCGTGCATCTCAGTCACACAGAAGATCAACCTCGCGATAGATCACCAAGCCCCAGTTCTCCATGGCTCCAGCGGCGAAATCGGGAGCAGCCAACATATCCAGCTTGGGCAACGGGAAGGGCACACCGAAGTACTCCTGCACAGAAGAAACCCTGGGCACAACGCGCCAAAGGTCTATTATATAAACCTATGATCTGCGATACCAGGCTGGCATCAAAATCGTTGTACTGCGCGGCCAAAAGAAGCACATGGGATCCCAAAACAGCGGCTCCTCATAGTAGCTCAGCGCCCGGGCGGCCACCGACAGGGCAAAGGTCCCTTGGGCCTCAGGAGGCGGTGGGAAGCGGCTCGGCTAATGCATTGTTCATGGATTCATGATGTCCTATACTTCATCAAGGCCGTTAAGAAGGAAGTTACCTGAGCAACAGATCATATAAAACTGTATCTAACTGTATGTATCTATTATATATAAAATATATGGAAACGGACAGATCATTCATCAATGATTCGTGACAGGTCCGCTAGCGTACAAAAAATAAACGCTTGGTGGTTTCTACGGTGGTTAAGCAGAGAGATAAGATAACTGTATGTAAAGAATTGTAAAGATATGCGTATAACTAAGCGTAAATATCCGTGTAAAAATAGCATGCACAGTTTCACGTCAGCAGGCACCCACTAATAATTAAGCTGGCCAGGTGTGGGCCGCTGGTCAAGTGTGTTGTTGTCCACCCATCCAACTGAGCTGTTCGGCTGCTTGGCCGGGCATGGTCAACACCCGGATCAAGGTGCCGTTCACGGTCTGCGCCTCGCGCTGGCTACTTAGTCTAGGGGTCCCCGAATGGATAGTGGCACGGTTTCGGTGATTTACATGTTCTATCTATTGGGTGGGTCTATAGGAAGAACCACCTTTGCAAACGGCCACAACTGCATATTCTTGGGGCCTAGGATGGCTATCGGTTCACTTGCAGCTACGAGCGTGAGAAGCTTCCAGCACTCGCATAATAAAAGGCGCGCACCGTGTTCACCAAAGGTCTCAAAGACTTAGCCAAGGGATCAATCTAGACAAACATTGAAATAACATCACTCCTGCCTGGTCTGTCCTGATATCCGTTTGTGTTACTGTTATTTCAAGTCTCCTGTCTTGTTGTTCGTTCATCTTTCTTCATCTGTGGGGTTTTCGGATAGACATGATCAGCAAAGCGCCAGCGGCCAACCGACGGGACACCGACGGGAACCAATGACCTGAATGGTGTCAAAACGCCCCACGGCCAGGGCCAAGAGGTAGCTTGACATCCTGCAGCTCCGAACGGGATGCAATGGGAAGGTACGTTCGCTACTTCTTTAAACAAATGGGTCAAATTTGGTCAAATCTAGTCTAGAGACATGTCTTTTGACACAATATGAAATCTCGTCTATGCTGTTATATACTCAAATCATCTCAAAACCAAAAACGTGTCTTTTCTCGAACTGTCTTGCATGAACACGTCCCAAGTGTCACAAGTGTGATCGGTGCACTGGTCCTGGGTGTGTCCAGGAATGTGATCCTGGCACCAAGGAGTGTCTAGCGCGAAGGGGCAACCAGTGTGAAGCCAAGGAACAACACACCACTGATATGATCCACTCAAATTAACCAGCAAAAGAGTACAAAAAACATCACAATTCAGAAAGCTGCAAAATGGCAAAACCAGTTGCTTATACCACTAGCATCCACTAAGATATATAATCTACGGGTGCTGCGTGGTTTAGCTGGCCCTGCAAGCTTGCAACACCACATGCAATTGTATTCCACAAGGGCTTTGCTCCAGTTGGTGTGTAGCTCTTCGTTCGGACAGCGACTCACCGGCCAGGACCGCGTGACCCGCCTCCGCTTCCCTCGCTCGAGCGTGGTCTCGGAGGCGGCCGGCATGTTGGACACGGCCATAAGCTCCGCTGGCACCACCACGCTGAGGGCCTCGCGGCTCGCGCTGGGGGCTCGGCGGCGACGTCCCCACAAGATTGTCTAAAATTATAGGGTGTACCATCATTGTACAAGGTGCACCCTTTATATAATGATGGTAATGTTCAAAAGTACAAAATGTACCATCATAATGGGTGCACCCATCATGTACCATCATAATGTCCAAATTGATCAAGGTGCTTCACTTTCCTCTGGGGGGTCACTCGAAGTTTTGGGAGATCTGGGACTCAAAAACCTGCCAATTGGTCAGTGCCGACAGGCTCCTCAGATCCGCACGCACGGCATGGTGGACCTGCTGGCACCAAGACTTGACAGATGTTCTCGGAGATGGTCACCCATCCGCGACAGCTGTGGCGAGAGTTCATCTATACAACGCCTCACCTTTGCGCCTGTCCGTTGTGCCCTACCGTGTCCATCCAACTCGCAATCCTGCCCCTGATATCCCTGATGCTGTCCACGCAGCAAAGACGGCTTTTCTGCTTGGCTCGTCCCAGCAAGGCAACATGCGCCGGGCATCAATGGCTTCGAACTGAGTCAGCGCTAAAGTCTTCCATCCCCGGCGACTTTTGTATCCTCAGTCAAACACATATTCCTCAAATGATTCAGGTGGAAAGGATCGGAAACCAGAACAAACCTCAAGGCATAATAAGGCACTTGGAACCACTTGGATTTCTCCAGGGCGGTGTAGAATTACTGGAGTCATCTAGATGAGCATCACAAGGCTGGATAAGGGGATCTAAGGAGTGTGTGGTATGTTCAATTTCAATATGTATCTACAGCATATGTATCCATATTGGATATCAACAGAATAGGGACTCCAGTGGTGAGGCCCAACCCTGGCACTGTGTCCCACTAAAAAGGTTGGGTGGAGCTCCGCACAGGGTCCAACATCTAATTCCTAGCCTAAAGGACATGCCTCTTTTCTGTCGGGCAATATCGTGGGTGGCCGAAAGCTGAATCCTCTAACTCGGCTGAAGCAAACATCGTAGCCTTTGGAAGTGGGTCTGCCAAAGCCTTTAGTCAAGAATGAAAGACACAAGGACAAATAATTCAAGACTGCGCTGGTGACTTCAGGGAAGTTCATTCAACCAAAACAACTTGTTCCGCTTCTTCGACGAAGTGGCGGCTAGTGTAGAGCCCAGCCATGTCCTTCAAGAGAACCCTCTATCTCAACCGAAGCAGGCAGGAGATGCATCACGTGTCAGCGAACAAATGATACCAATTGATTAGCAGTGGCCAAAAAGCCTGCAATCAACTACACCCAATTTTAAATAGTCTTCAGGAAGCTGCCAATCCATTCATGCCTGGAAAGCAAGCCTCACAGTGGCTGAACATAGATCTCAAAAGATGCCAACACAAGGAGGGCAAAAAATGCTATGCTGCAGCTTGCCAATGAAGCCACTTCCCAGGACAGTGTACCCCATTGCAACCCAACCAACCAGCATCAACCAACGTTCAACCAATCAGAAATCATAACCAATCCAACAAATTTTATATTATATAAGTTACGTAGCACTCAGCTCACGGTCCTTCCCCATTTCCCCAGCATAGGAGATCTGCAGCACAGCATTGCCAGGCGAAAGTGCTTCCCGGAAATGTAGAGTGACCTTGCTCGGCAATGGCTTGCGCCCGGCTCATGCAGCTTGACAACTTATATTTTGGTACTTGGATTTTTGCTTCAGGAACTGGAACAAGAAAAAACCAGAAGGGGATTTAACCATAAGGAACATAACAAATCATCTTAAGCCAAACCAGGGGTATCGGTATGTGTCTTGCCAAATGCACCAAGTTTTGACAGGAGTGACAGCGAGCGAGCCCCGAAAAAGCTGGAAGTTTTGCTTATGAAAAGCCCTCCATTACAAAGTGATATGGCAGATTTCGTGCCAGTTGCACGAAATCTCTCAGGTTCCCTCAGCAACAGCTGCCCAAAACCCACAGTCCAAAGTCTGCGATCTCCAGGGGCCGAGTTCAATGCCCACCCAGGGCCGATGTTCAGTCCATCGTTGTTGTTTTTGGAAGTCTGCTGCCTGTTTGACATGCACGGCCTGAGTGCAGGCAGAAATATCATGGCCCTCCTCCAGTATGACATCAGAATCCATCTCTTGAGATGATGGGGTAGCGGGAGGGGGGTGCAACCATCCCTTTGTCAAGAGCCCGCTCCATGACTCTCCGCTCGCTGCCTTTCAAGGCACCCGCTCCCATCCAGCGTCCTTCAAGACCTCCGCTGGTTGCAGCTGCTCGATGGCTTGGAATAATACGATGGACTCCAGCACCAAATTCCGAGCCTCAGCATGTTGGTGCAGGCGGAGCTTCTGTCTTCCTTTGCGTCAGGTCGGCAGGCTCTGGAATCCCCAAACTCATCATCTCTTAGCAGGAGCAAAACGAAACAAGGCAGCGTCATTGGCAGCACTCTGCGCCTCCATGCCAGCGCAGTCTTGTGCACCACCCTTCTCGTACAATGCCCACTGGCCAGAAAATATGGCAAGTCCCATCTGTTTTCTGCAGTGTTCCCTGAAAGCCCGTGACTCTTAAAGGAGTTCTCACCCGACAAACATGCTCATGAGCGACCAGTTCCACATAACCATCGCACCAAGAAGCATTGAACATGATGCTGGAGGTCTCCCTGGTGATGTTGAGATGGATGCTCACGTGGCCCTCAAAGGTCGTGGACCTTCGCTTCGCCGCTTTGGGCCAGATCACCCACCGATTCGTGGGACTTCCAAGCGATTTCCTTCACGAATGCCCATCCGATGGACAAGCCCCCCTACAGTCCTACAGAAGCTCAGGCCAGTTCCCTGTGATCGAGATGCGGGAGCCCGCGGGAGCATCTCGGTGGGCCGGCCTCTCAGGATCCAAGGTCAGCTGCAAGTCATAGCGCAACGGCACCACCTCTTCGGGCAAGGTCTCGTGACCTGAGTGCCACGTGCCAGCTCGGTTTAGGTCTGAGCCCGGCAAAGCGTGAGCACGGGCTGTGCACGAAAGATGTTGAGGGTTCAACCGTTGCTGCGCAACCTCTGGTCTTCGTTAGAGTTGGTGGAGGAAAAAAGTGCGAACGTGTGGAGATGCAGGTGAGAAAAGAAAAAAACATGAAAACCAAGCATGGGACGCTACTAGGCCTGGCCTTAGTACTAGGAACAAGAAGCTACTAGGAACAAGGGCATCGCTACTACTAGTAGGAGCAAGGACGCTACTAGGGGCTCCTGGCATGAAAGCCAAGCATGAAAGCCGGATCATAGTTGGTTTGAAGGCAGCCAGCCGTCCAAAGGTTCTATGCCTTGGCACATTCGCACTCTTGTACAACCCTCAGTGCACGCCCACCTTGCAAACAATTACCGAAAGCCCGAATCTAAGTGTCTAAGCCTTTAAGCTCTTGGTCTTGAGGGGTTGTGCTGATTCCAATGGTGACCTGTTAACTACCTAGCTGGTTTTATCACGGTCTATCAGGTTCATCCCACCATTTTCTCCCAAGATGCTTGAAGGGCCAGCCACTGGGAGCTCTGGCTCCAGCGAGTCCAGCTCCACTTCATCAACCACGGTGGCCGGCGGCCAAGCAAAAAGGAAGCAAAGTAAAAGCACCTTTGCTGCCGAAGAGCTGTGAATCCAATGGGGTCAATCAAAGATCATTGCAATCTGTAAACCCCCATCCTTCAAAGAAGAAACTGTCCTGTGGTCTGTTTCATGGAACTAGTTGACATTACTTTGAAACGGATAATAGACACTTTCCGGATACATGTTAAAAGGTCCATCAAAGGGGATCATCTACTTGAGGACTCCTTTTCAGCCTCGCAGCTCCATACCCCGCTCGTCGCTGCTCGCGGGCGCGGCGAAGCGGCCGCGCGGGGGGCGCGGCTCGCGGTCGCGACCGCGTGGCGAAGCGCATGAAGCGTCGAGAGAAGAAGGGTTCCGCGAACACTCCAAGAATATCCTTAAAATGAATACTATAGACTTAAAATCCTCTCCCAAGCCGTTGGCCCAAGCCAGATGAAAAGTTTGAACAATCTTTATCTTTATTATCTTTATGCGCATATGGATCTAGTCTTTTATGTTGTAATGACGGTTCCTCAGCTCAATGAAATGCCATAGCAAAAGGCCTGTCGACACTAGTCACTAGTCCTTGCAGCAATCTGTGTGAAGACATGAGAGGTGGGACCATAGTCACCATACTGTTCCCCTTCCAGGTCAAATGAGAACAACGCGCAGGCAGACTTCATTCCAGAACCGGTGCGAATGGTTGTAGAATGTTCATGATCTGATCCCATTGACGTCTCGTGCTTCGTCCGGTCTCCTCCCCAAAACGCAAGTAGTGCAACACCGTCCCATCGTCATGCGTGACCATGGAGCGTTGGGGGGGCCACCATGGAGCCTCAATTGGCATGCTTCATCTCTTTGAGCCACGCAGTTGGCCAAGGAGCATGCAGACTCCACGTGGTCTTTGGTAGGCTTTGGACTGATGACTTTTTTGGGGTTTGGTTTGGTTTCGTTCTGAATCGCAAGACTCGAAGGAAAAGAACACCGTCCTTCCTCGTGACTTCACCGCAGGCGATTGCAGGATTGGGTTCTTAGAACTCTGCTAGCAGACTGCACAAGCTGCCTTGCCGAGCTGTTCCGCTCGCACCAAATATTTCTCCTCAAATGCGCAAGCGATGTGGCCGCCCATCTGACTTTGGAGCATGTGCTGGTAGCGTGCTTTAGCAGCCTGAACAAGTGGCCCAGGAGATAGTGGGTGGTGCCAAGTTCCTTGCCCCGATGAGAACCAAGCAGCCAAGAATAGTACACAAACATGTGTTTATGCAAACTTTGACGCCAATCCCCGGGATCTCTTTTCTCAGTGTAGAACTCCGACACCAATTCATGCTACAGTATTAGTTCATATTAGTTCATCCCTCTTGTAAGCCACGGCCTCGCCTGGACCGGCAACGCAATTCGGCAACACACAGCGTAGATCAAGTGTAGGGATCGTCATCTCCCACTTGAATCAAATGCATGAGCAGCATTGGACGGGAGCCATCGGCTCAGAAAAGAAAAAAAACACAACAAAACGGAACGGATTTGCCATCAAACTAAATGTAAACCTGCACCATCTCAGCCACCCGAACTCGCATTTTCCCCAGCGTCGGATGAGCGATCTCGGATTCGCCTGATTAGCCCCGAACTTGTGCGGTGCGGGCCTAACTAAAACTCCACGGCCCTGTCGGCAGCGATCTGCGACTGAAAATTGACATGAAAAGCGCATCGCTCAAAGCTTTTCAAGATGGAGAAGTGCCACAAGATGCCACAACGGTCGAACTTTTAGAACTTTGCCCAAGAAGAAATCAACCATGGAAACTTGCGGTGAAAATCATCAACAGGCTGCTCTTTTGTTGGCCCTCATATCTGGTCTTCACAAAAATTTGACTTAGGCCAGGTGAAAGGAGAAATGTCTTTCCCCCATAATGTTGGAACTCAAACGGTAGACGGTAGACCGTATACTCCTTCTAGCAAACATTTGGATAGCTCCAGCCCAACAAAACTACCATTGTCGTAGTAGTCCTCTTCGTAAGGATCTTGAAGGGAAACATTGCTGAACAATAGATGAAAACAAAGCACTGTTTTCTCTCAGGGCTCCAAGTTTGCGCATAATTCCCACCCACTATATAAACAATTCATATCATGCTTCACAGAAAGCGGTCTTTGTTTTCTTGAGCCAAACACGCAGGCGTTTCGGCCTGTGGTCTTGTGTACCTAGTTGTACACTTCTCGTTTTGTGCGTCCTGTTTCAAGATCCGCACTCCCCCCGTCCGCCTTCGGACGTCGCATCAAAGTCGCCTCATGCCCTCTCGCATGAGGAAGAGCGAAAAGCCTACCCATGTTCCCGGCCCGCTCAGTTCTGCTCGTCGCCAATCGCAGTCCACGACCACTCTTCGATGCCATTCACTGCCCTTCCAAGCGACGGTGACTCTCATGAACTCCAAGTCATCAATCTCCTCAGGACAGCTGCGATGTTCAGGATGAAACCTCTGCGCCCGCGCACTTCCATGGTAGCGGACCAACCATCTGCAGCCATCCATGGTCAAGTGATCCCATCGATCACTCTTGAGCGTTGGCTTGTAGAACAACGCTTCCTCCTCAATCAAATCCTGAATGTCATTCAGGATCTCAGGCGTCCAAAACACCGAGCTTTGGAACTCCAACTGATCATCCATCATGCCCCCAACCGGCATCAAAAGCTGCGCCGGTGGAGCCTTACCAGGCCTGTTCCACGGCCTGTCAGTTGCCGGCTGCCGCATTCGCTCCAGCGTAGGAGGTCCCGTAGAGCTCGAACTCCTCGCCGCCGCTGCCGACTTGGAAACCCCTTGGAGAACAGTTCCCGCAGCCTTTGAGGTGTACCCCATAGCGGTACCCATCGCCTTTGAAGATGCCATCGCCGCTTGTCCTTGCTCAGCAGCTTCACTCGGCCTTGAAGAACCACTCGATGTAGCCCCCCCATAGCCCCGCGGTTGAACGGGTACAGGAGGTTGTTTAGGAGGGGGCACCGGAGGCCTCTTGGCAGGTGGCGGGGATTTCACTACCAGCCGTTCATTTGGGATGAGGCGAATCGTCTGGGTCTCCGTGTCCACCTCTTCAGGCCGCAACATCCGGATGGTGACCACCATCGGCGGTCTTGTCACGTCGTAGGTGCCCTCGTCCATAGCCTCTTGCGTCACTCTGCTATTCGTGTAGTGCACCTCTTCCGGCTGCCCTGCATCTCCTCCCAGCCATTCGCGTCCACCTCGGAAGACAGCAGGCAGCCTCATCTGGATGCGACCCCACACGCCATGGCTCGCGTTCGCCGCCTCCACCTCAAACACAGTGGAGTTGGGAGCCTCTAGGCTACGGTCTAAACCCCCAGGGCCTTCAGTTTCCGAGACACGTTCTCCTGGAGGTGGCGTGCGGCCCGACGCCGATGAGGTTCTGGCCTCTTGGACATTTCTTATGTTTTCTTGACCGGTCCGTTGTTCTGACCCCTGTTGGTCTTGTTCTTCCCTTGCCGGCGAAGGCCGCAGGGCACACAAACGAGGTTGCAACCGGGTCGGGTGTTCAGTAGATCTCAATTCTTGTTGAATTTCCCTATCTGACATGGTTGAACACTCCCCCGGATCTTGGTCCCTCGTCCAAAAACCCTTGCTAAAACCCCGGCTCACTTCATAGGCCAGCCCAATCGCAAGCGCCGCTGCCACCGCCGCCTTTGCAGTGTAGGAAGGCCAGGTCATCGCCGCGCACCCAGCCAAACATGCAGCAAGCTTCGCCACCCGCACCATGGATTCCACCGCGTCCTGCGAACCCTCACCATCATCCGCAGCCACCCCACCCAGGTTCTCGACCTTCAGGAGGTTGGTGAACGCCCGGAAGCGGTCCCAGGAAGCTCGAACCGTGATGCTCTTGGTCGATCAGCTGCGTGCCCGCCATGTGGAAGATCTTCCATCGCCCCTGTTGAGCTCGTTCTCGAAGCACGTTAGCTCGGAGTCGAAGGTGTCTGGTACGCCATGGACCATCCGGATTGCGCACGATGGAGATGGCAGCCTGACTGTCGCCATAGGTGACGATCTCCGGCGTCTCTCCATGCACCTCCGTCCACAGCGCCTGCAGCGAATCCCCCATAGTTAAGGCCTCCACGTAGGAGTACAGCTCCGCTTCCGCCGTTGACAATGCCAGGCACGATTGCCTGGAAGTTTCCCACTGCACCGTAGCGCCCGCAATCATCGCCACGATGCCTTGCACACTTTTCTCCCCTTGCGGGGCATACGAAATGTCGCTGAAGAGCTCCACCAACGATGTAGAGCGCTCCAGAGGAAGATCGCCATGAGGTCCACGATCACCAGGTCCACAGGGAACATAGTGCAGGAAGTAGTCCATCGTGCCATTCAAGTACTCCAGAACATGTTGTCCCACCCGAAGCACCCATCTCGGCCGTTTTGTGACCTCTTTTCCCATAGCGCTGATGGCATAGGACAAGTCAGGCCGACTGCGAATAGCCACCCACAGGATCTCCCCCACAATGCCCTGCGCCTTCTTGATCTCCTCCGCCGTCACCCCTTCTTCCACCTCTGGAGGAGGTACAGCGTCCTTTGGCAGCGGAACCGTCTTCTTGTCCACGATGTTGTGCCTCTGCAGCAACTCACCCAGGTAGGAGGGTTGACCTAACAACAAACCTCCTTCATGGCTTTTGAGCTCGTACCCACAAAACCTCACCCAACCCTGGTCATCCACCGTCTCGGGCGTGGACGTTTTCCACCGGGACTGGATGCACTTAAGAAGACCAGGTCGTGCCACTGCATCTCCCATCACGAGGAGGTCGTCGACGTACACCAAGAGAAGGCCTCTGACCACCTGCGTCTCCTTCTCCACGATACGCCACAAGTTGCGCTCCTTGGTCTGGATCAGGTGGTAGGCGACGTGGTTGTCCTCCCACGCCAACTCCTCCAGGACCTGATCCCTGTAGATCGCCCAATACGATGGACTCGTATTGAACCCGTAGAGTGCTTTTCGGATGAGCCAGACCTCATCCGGTTCACAGAACCCCAGGTCCACCATCACCTTCGGCGGCTGAACTGCCACGGGCTTGCCACCTGGTTGATGTGGTCGAGGAGCTTGCAGAAACGCGGACTTCACGTCCAACGAAGTGATCTCCCAACGACGTTGACTGGCCTCCAACAGCGATGCCCGAATGAGCACCCCATCCGCCCCACTTGCGTAGGAGCCACCAGGCAAACCTCCAGGAGGTGGATCAGCTTGCTCCGAAGCCAGGTTGCCGCAGATCACCGCCCTCGATCTCTTAGCCCCTGTGCCCCCTTTCTTGCAACAGACCATCTTCCCCGGAACCAGCTCCGTGCCCGGCGCCAACAAATGCCTCTCCGTGGGGACCACCGCCTCAGTCTCCTTGACCAGCACGTCGTACTCATACTGGAACGAAGGCCTCCATGCGTCCGCATTCTCCCGCACCTCCGAGAGCGGGACGGTCATGGTCTGCAGGACCTGTTCACCTTCTCCACCTTGTTGACCTTGAGCTTGAAGAGCACATAGTCGGATCTGTAGGGCCTTGGCCACCCGACTCAACTCCATCAACTGGCCTTCAACTTCATCACGCCAGCCCAGAAGGTGATTCACCAACTCACCCTGCACCGCCCCCCTGCTCCTCCGTGGTCGGCACTTGGTTGATGCACCCCAAAAGCTGCTCTTGTAGACACCCCTGTTGGTCACCCCAGGAGTCCTCTAGTTCTTGCACTGACAACCACCTCGCCCCTTGGTAGTGCGGCTCGATGTCAACAGCGGCCAATGCTCCTTCGTCCCCAGTCTCAACCCTCAACGTCCGCACACCTTTGGATGATGACGATGTAGTCGAGATAGGAATGGCCAGAGGGTCATCTCTCCATATCACAGCTCCCCCGGGCCTCGCGTCTCCAGCTCCCGCGGTCTCACCAGCAACTCCCCCAGGACCTGCTGCGCCCGAAGCTGTGCCCAAAGCTGTTGTTGAAGAAGGAGAAGAAGTCCCCCCCGCTGTTGGCATAGTCGCACCTTGTTGTCCTCCAGCTTGAGGAAGGCGTGGTTGCCCATCCAATGGTTGTTTCCCCCACATGCGATGGTATGGTTGGCCTGGTCGTGGCTCCTCCTCCAACTGTAGGCGCACTTGTGCTTGTTGATCTTCGAGTTCCCGACGTAGATCCTCCGCCTCCGTGTTCGGTTGTACAGCTTCTCGAACATGAAGGATCTTGCCATCCTCGGCCTGCACCACCCATCCATCGTTCATCATGGGGCTTGGACACATCAATCTGCCCTTCACAAATGGTGCCATTAGTCCCCCCTCCTTATGCCACTTCTTCGCCTTCACATACACAGTGGCATAGAATGGCAGCATAGGCAATGTGGGAACTCCCAGCTCCTCCAACTGGCGTCTTCGCCTCTCCTCCACCGCGTACCTCATCGCCGATGGCCAGAGTTGACCTGCACATTCATGTTGCGCCAGTAGTAGCCTCGCGCGCCTTTTGACTTGGTTCACCTCCGCCTCTACATGGCCGTTGGCAGCAGGGTCATCTCCTCCAGTGGACGTTTGTACAATCCCCCATCGACTGCGCCATGCCTCCACCTGTTTGCTGATGAGCTCCTTCGCCCTGTCGGTGTGCAAGCGGTTCACCGCCACCCCCATGGCCTTATACTTGGTGATCAACTTCTGCAAGCCGACAATCACCTCAGCCTTGGCCCGGGATTCCAGCACCTCCATGCAGGTCACGTGCTTCAGAGGAACTCCACGTTGACACTTTTGAAGCTCCGCCTCAAAGTCATAGTCATGGGCTGGATCCATGATGTCCTGTTCCTCCTCCATCACGCCCACATCCTCCCCCGGTTCTGGTGCCTCCACCTGTTCCGGCGCAGGGTCCTCCTTGGGTGTAGGAACCTTTTCATCATGTTGATCTTCCGCCCCATCCTTCGCCGCGACGTCCTTCTCCGCCACGTCCTTCTCCGCCACATCATCCTCCGCCACCGCGTTGAAGTCCGGGACCAATGCCACCGCGATCATAGCATAGCGAACAACCCGCCCTGAAGCACCATCCCTTGTCATAGATAGCGGGCCCACGATGTCCACCGCCACTGACCACGCCGATGACATTCTTTGGGTGTCCCCTCGACGTCGATGCGGCCCTTGGGTTCCTGCCTGCTCAATGCACAGCCTGCAGTCCCTGCGAAAGGGTCGATGTCCTTGGCGAAAGTGTGTCGCCCACATATCCTTTTCCTTCTGTGATAGCTTGGCTATCTTTCGTTGTTGTGCTGCACCCTGCTCCAACATGCATCGGAGGGACTCCTTAATCGCAGCTCTCAATCCCGGAGCCCACAACGACCAGGACTTTGATGCCTGAATGCTGGCTTGTAGGTCATCAGGAAGGGGTTCATCATCACCTCGTGCTCGAAGTCCATGTAGTTCCATCATCCCCGGCATGTTTGTGAGCAGCGATGTCGGTTTCTTTTTGGAATGCCCTACGGCACCTTGATCTAGAGTGACCATCCCCATGGACTCCTCCTCCAACAAACCCAAAACTTCCGGCCAACTCCAGAAAGACGGCATTCGTCCACCATCCCCCACCATCTTGGCCGGGTCTGCTGGAGACTCCAACAGGAAACCCGTAGTTCCTTTTGGTGCACCCACCTCCACCTTGGCTTCTTCCGTAGCCAGATAGAGTCCAACCTGCTTGATGACGAGGGCCGCGTCGTGGTCCGCCAAACGCTGCTCTGCAACGCTGAGATTCGGTAACCCGAAGCGATGTGCTCCTCGATCTCGAAGTGGCCTTGGGCCTGGTCGCCTGAATCGCAGCCTCGACACTGTTCGGCATGGGGGTCCCCCGTGCCTGGCCAAACGCATCAAGAAAGCCCACAACACCGGGTTGTGCAGGTCCTGCGACTTGTTGTGCATGATGTCCAAGGTGATGACCTCGCAGTCATACTTTTTGAGCTCCTCCCACTCGTCGGCCTTTTCCCCCGCGAAGAGATGAAGCACCACACGTTTAGCCGCCAGCAGCCGTCGTCGCTGCCGTCGATTCCATGGAAGAGCACCACCACCAAAATCATGCTCCTCCGTCATGTACCGGAAGATCCTGGCAGGAACCTCGGGGAAGCGTTGGCTCCACCACGTCAGCAGCTCCTCTTCCAAGTTCTCCTCCCGGTAGACATCATCATGTTTTTTCTTCTCCACCTCCTCGATCTCCCGGATGAGCAGCAGAGCGTCCTCCTCCAGCACCACGGGACAACCTTCACGAAGGCGGGAAACGATCTTCCCCTTGCGGGGGTGCTCCACAGCACAACCACTCCTGGACCACACCATCTTGTAGCCCAGCTCAATCAACCCTCGAACCGGCACGATGGGCTCCACCGCGTCGGCCGACAACAACGTACCCGTCACCGGGTCTTGGTGTAGCATGATTGAGCCATGTGCCAACTCCACATGAACCCTCTCAGCCTTTTCCAGTTCACCAGGTAGAGCTTGACGAAGGGGGTGTGTTGCACCACCATCCAAAAGCCCCAATGCGGTGCCCGCGTCCAAGTTGCCACCCACGTCCATGAACTTGAGCTTGATGGCCTTGACCTTGGCGCTCCGCAATGACTTCAACAAAGCCGATGCCTCCCCCATCAAGGTGTCGATGGAGTCCGACTTGTTCGGCATGGGACCCCCTGTAACTCCGGAACCGGCTTCCGCCTCAGTCTTTTTCCCCGAAGCTCCAGTGGCCTCTTCAACCTTCACCTTGAGTGGCTCTCTTTCCGGCGAAGAAGGCTGTGAATCCTCCCCCCGCACCTTAGCCACCTTCACATTCTCCTCCTTCCCGAACTCCTTCTTCACATACGGACAATCACGCCGAGTGTGGTTGAGGCCGGAACAGAAGAAGCACCGATTTTCCTTTGGGCTGAGGGTGCCATGTTTGAACTTGCATCGATCCCCTCTTCGACAGCCCTTGTCCGACAACCAAAAGCGACAGTCGCCCTTGAACTCCACCCCAGCGGCCTTGGACTCCTGCGCATTTCCTGTCGCCGAAGTCGCCGTCGTTGATGAAGCCCCCAAAGCTGCTGCCTTCACAAATGGAACGGTCGTTTTTCCCGCTCCCCCAATTCCTCCAGCGCCCAACGCCTGCTCTTCGGTCTCAGCCTGCAGCAGCTCCGCGAAGGTTTTGATGGAGTCCAAGTTGGGTCTTGTATCAATTTGCAACTGTTGCCTGCACACCGACATTGGTATGCAGCTTGCGCACCAGACTTGGCAATGGCGTCCGAAGCCCGAGTCAAAACACCCGCCAAGATGACAGGGTCTGGCAACATCACCGCCAACTCTTGAGCCCGATTCCACCATCTCCGCCATTGACGCAGGTTCTGCGCCAGTTCAACCATAGAGCCCGTAGTTTTGAGCTCCGTCAAAAACCGGATGAGAGTGACCCTCTCACCTTGTCCGCCAGGTTGAAACTTGACGAACAGCGTGAACAACAAATGGGTCACGCTCAGCTTCCTCGCAGCCACAGCCTCCGCCTTGATGTTATCGGGGACCGCCTGCAACAACAAACTGGTCATCCTCCTTTCGGTCCTAGGCCACCTTGTAGCCGCCGATGAAGTGCCAGTGTCCAACCTAAGACGTTGAAGAGGATCCGAAGCCAACCATTGGGTATACAGCTCATCAACACCCTTCAAGGTCACAGCCCACCATTCCTCCGCCGACACACTCACGTCCGCGATCAAAGGCTGGATCGTGGCTAACCAATCACCGAAGGACAGTGCATTGGCGTCCGAAGGAAGTGGAGGTAGATCCACACTGCGAAAGGTCTCATTGACCGATTCCTCACTGCCCCCACCCATAGGAGCACCACCAACCAGGCCAGGTCCATAGTTTCCGCCACCTCCACCACCATTGGGCGGTAGCCCGATAGCACCCCATCCACCTGGTCCAAGCTGAATTCCAGGGGGATATGGCCAAGGGAAACATACTCCAGGTCCGGTTCCTTGAACGGGTCCAGGTCCAGGAAGATTGCCTCCAGGAACAGGAACACCACCACTTGTCGTCATAGTTGAGGATGAAGCCACGTGTGTTCCAGTCCCCGAAGGCTGCCGTGGTCCCCCGGTTTCCGGCACCTGTTGCTTCCCATCCCCTTGTGTTGCGCCCCCATTCTCCGCAGCCGTCTTGAACGAAGCATCGGAAGGCGGATTGCCTCCTCCCAGCAGCTGTCGAACACCATCAGCAAAACGCTGTTCGGCATCACGAAGAACTCGTTGGCGAAGAAGTTCAACGGTTTCTCCCGCCTCTTGGCTTTGGCTCTGCGGGAGATTCATCGTCTGCTTAATCTTCTCAGCAGACCAAGGATTGATAGGCGATTGTTGCCTCGACATGGCACCAGCCACCCCCAGTTCACGTCCAGGTAGTTCACCAGCGGGTTCATGTGCACGACCGGGTCGAAGAGCATGTCCAGGCTGATGTTCCTCTCGTTGGCGTTCTCGATCTCCCGGAGATAGTTCCAGCCTTGAAGCTGAAGCCCATCTGCTCGTCCCCCCTGGATGGAAGACCACCGGATATCCCTGGGGATACGGTCCCTGGAGCATTGGCCATCCAGGAATCTGCTCTCGCGTCAAGGCTTGAGCTGCATCCACCAGTCCAGATTGTCCACCACCAAGAAGAGCTCCGCCAGGTAGAGGAGGGAGTAGTCCAGCCAGCAGTGTTCCTGGAGGGGGTTCCTGTCGTGGTTGACCACCATCCATGATCGCCGCCCTGGGCTCCGTATTCGCTCCAGCTGGGGTCTTGTCCGTCACCGTCTGTCTCGTGCTCTTCACCAAGGCCGGTCGCCTTGCACTCGGCTCCGCACTTTGGGTGCGACGTGCGGGAGTCTGCTGCGCCAGCAGCTCATCCAGCCGCTCGTCAGCCGTTTGCTGACGTTCCTTTGAAGAAGATCTTCTCCTCGCCATCAAAGATGTCATGGCGCGACCGCTTTGGGCTCATAACCCATGCTTCACAGAAAGCGGTCTTTGTTTTCTTGAGCCAAACACGCAGGCGTTTCGGCCTGTGGTCTTGTGTACCTAGTTGTACACTTCTCGTTTTGTGCGTCCTGTTTCAAGATCCGCACATATAATTCAATTCCCCTCGGCTTATGTACTAAATGTTGCAAGGTTTTCAGGTCAGAGTTCCAGGAATCAAGCAAAGCCTCAGAAAAGGTTAAGCAATGGCATAGAAGGAAATCAATAGCTATAAGCAATAGAAAGCGCAACTGTGAGGAAAAATTATAAAAAAAAGCTAAACCCAATAAATCATTCCAGGATTTGGAGTATTTTTTTGTTTAAAGAAGCTAGTTTAATTTCATCGTGTTTCCTCCCCCTTGACTATTTGACATTGAACAAGTAGCGTGTCCTCCATCTAGAAGCTGTGTCTGCTGGCTCTTCAGCTCTTCGCTTGGCCAACGTGAGAAACTCTCGGTCTGACGACCCAGCTCAAGATCCACTTAGAGACCAAAGCGTGTCCCTCGAAGGACTGGCTCACAGTGTTTCAAGTTCTCGATACAAATGAGCTGAACACCCCAAGTTCCAACGACATGCGACAAACAAACATGATATATCAGTATATGATCGTATCATTAATCATCGCTTTATTAGTTGCGGGTGCAACTTTGACATCCGGAGCCACAATAGACATCCCAAGCCTCTTCCACCTTCTCCAAACCTCAAAGCTCTCGGTTGGTGGAACTCTTGGAACCCTTGGACCCCTGGCGCCTGGGTGACTTCTTCCGGTCCACGGACGAAGCGGGCACAGCGCCCGGTACCGTCAGGTTGCTACCGAAGAGCTGAGAGTGGGTGGAGGCCCAGGTGTCATCACCTCCTGGGCGATGAAGGCGGCGAGAGTAACTTAGATGTAGAGTGGTTTCAGAATAAATATGGCACAAACCCCGGACCCCAACATGTCTTTTAGATGATTTTAGATGGGGGATCCATATAAACAATTTTCTGGGGATTGTCACAAATCCACTCTGAAACCACTTTAAGACTACAAGCTTCCCGGATGCAGCTCTTGATGGTTCCATGTGAATCCACTTCTTGCCTTCGGACTGAAACTTGATGAATCCAACGTGGACACATGGGTCTTTGATGTTACCACTTTCAGGTTCTTATCTACTGGAAGTTCAGCTAGAAGCCATATAATAGTGTTTTAAGTTTTATATATTTATTAAGTGATTACATGGGAGGTCTAAGACGGCAAACTTGAGGTCATGTACTTGGAGAGGTTGCTGGTCTGAAGATTGGTAGATCTAATTATAATTGGTTCTATTGCATGTCAACCATGGGCATGGATGTTTATGTTCTATTCTTTACTGGGTCGTCAATATTCCAACACCTATGGATAGTTCTCCCGTGTCAGACAGGATATACGCACATATAGTTCGTTGGTTGATTGTATGTCATTAGCATGTCCATTTCCAAACCCAAGATATCACTGTGGATGTCAACCCCAGAAATGACAGATCCATTCACTATTGCTATAGCTGCTATAGGTTTTAAATACATTTGGCATTTTGGCTGCCAATCTCTCTCCAACAAACACGGAAGTGGACAATTGACACTTGGAAGACATTGTTCCTCTAAATGCAGGTGGGGCTCCATGATTGTTATTAACTGTTGTTCGATTGCACATCCACAATATACCTATATGTACATAGTTGTACAAGGGGCTCTAACAAATTACAAACAAACGTCGGGTTTTTTTCCAAAGAAGGGTCCTGAACACGGTGATTATATTATATATGGTAATGTGGGCAGGACACCTGCACTCCTGCAAAATCTTTGTTCGTTCGTGTCAAGCAAGTTTTGCCTGAATGAGCATTGTGAATCCGCTGGTATGAAAATGGACCTGACTAGTACCAACGTCAAATGCTACCCAGCCAAAGCTGAAAAGCGTGCAGAAACAAATAAAAGTATTGCTTGGTGGCTTCAACCTATCCTTGAGAACATCATTGACGCTGATTGAAACCAGTTGAAGGACGATTGGCCTTACTATATAATTAAATATATGTATAATCATTATAGGCTGCATATGGCTGCAATGTAGGTGTTTCTTCAACTTCAGTGAGTGTATATATTCATATATATATATAACAAATAACCGTGACCATAACATATTTGCAAGCAGGTCTCGGAAGGCCAATTCTTCTCCCAGTGTCCGGCGTCCATGTGAAATCTCAGCTTCAGACTCGCTCAGGGACCGTTGCAGTTGAGGATGTTGAGGTTCTGGCCGACTGCTGCTGGCCTTGCTACCAGCTCGGCTTTGTTTACTGGTGCTTCTCCCCCTCCTTTTGCTTCCCACACTTTGCTTTGAACCAGCTCTTGGCAAAGTCCGAGCTTCCGCAGTCATCTCATTCTCACCACTGCTGGTCTGAGAGCCAACTCTGACCACTCCGGGAACGCTGGAACCCATGGAGGTTTTACTGGCTGAACGTCGCATCTCCAAGACCTGATCACCGTCCAAAACCAAAGACTCCATGTGATCCTGTTGAGGAACTTCATCGGGCCTCATGGTCAAACTCCTCACGGCACCACCGCTGACGCCACCGCCTTCGGCTGCGTCCGCTTCCGCCGCAGACTTCCGGAGCTGCTCCTCGGTTTGCACCTTGAAAAGGTAGTGCTCCCGCTTGGTGGCTTTAGGCTTGGTCAAGTCTGGTAGAAGGCGGCGCAGCTGCTTGCGGTAGAACCACATGGAGGTGCAAGCGATCATTAAAGGCACGATCAACAAAAGCAACAGAACCAGCATGGGCATTTCCAATTCCATGGCCACGGAATGCCACGAATCGCCAGGGTAGATCCCCTCTTTGAGGGGAACCCAAGGTCCGTGGCTTGATAGTTTAGGGCTGCAAGGAGGCTGAACATCCACAAGCTCAAGGCTTTAAACATACGATCATATGATATTGCCACGTAGAAGCAATTTGATGAAACCTTGCCAACTGCCACAAGATGAATTTGCAGAAACTGCGCTACTTGTTATGATAAAGAACGTTTCCCATCATCCCGGACCCGGACCAGTCCATTCAAATTTACATGAACATTATGAACCAACCTGACGTAAGCCCGCTCCCCTTGGCCAACCCACGACTTTTGTCTTAGCATGGCAATGTCAGTGTCTGTGGCGAACAAATCTGACGGAACTCTAGGCCGGTGGCGCGAGTTAGACGGTACCCTCTTTCGCCCTCTGACTGAGCCACCCTTCCCCAGCCCCATGCACCTTCACAAACGTGCTTCGCTTCTCCATGTTCAACGGGCGGCCCCCATGGCTTTCTAGATGGAAACCGGGCGAGGCTTTGGGGCAGCGACGCGTAAGCAACGGTGAACAGCGAGGTTATCCTAGAACTGCGGGAACCATTTGCACTTCAACATGTCCCATCGTTTCTGATAGATATTTGACGATAATTTGCAAATCCTATACCCACGTGAACATGCTGCAGATCCTCTTGACCTCGGACGTTCTAAAGCGTTCGGATGCATAATCCCGAGTACCTATTTAAAAACGGTCCCTAATTAAAAAAAGTCATGTCGGATCCCCCTAAATATGGTGTATATCTGTTTTTAAATTACCGCCCTTTCAAGCCGCTACTAAACTACCAACATGGCCGATTTGGAGGGGTTCTTCTTATTACAGTAGGTTCCAAAAACAACCGTAACTGCCCACCTCTGTCCGCACTGTCTATCCACCATGACACGCCGCGCTCATGGCACAGCGACATCACCTTTCGAAAGCTTTAGCTGTTAGTCTACTGAAGAATCACTATTCTAAGGAAGGTTTTTGTAGGGGAAAAGGAAGACCCTTCGATCTGGAGTTTTTTTGCATTTTTGATACGAGTTTAATCAAGGATTTTATATAAACATGTTCATGGATTACTTTTTTTGTTTTGAAACTCTTTCCAGGTGACCCTATTTTGGACCACCCGATTTCAGGGACCCCCTATTAGAAAAAATGCGACCGAGGTTTCCTTATTAGGGGGGAGCCTCGTGTTTTTAAATAGGTGGAAGGGATTATCGTCTCAAATCATGGATTTGTGAGCTTAGTGATATGATGTGAAATGTCAATGGTGTTATATAAATCAAAAGGCAAACTGGCAAACAACTGAGGGCCACTGACACTTTGAAGCAATCCATCTGGGTAGTCCTGATGTGGAAGAATTATCCCCCTGATAGGCCGTGCCATGCAAACCTTCTTGCGGGCACCACTTGCTTGTAGGAGGAATGGGGTTCCAAGGAACTCAAAATCCTGAAACAAAAGGAACTCCCGCTTGCGATCTCGCGTCCCGTGCCCGCTCTCGATCTCGCCAACTTTGTTTCTCCGGCGATGTGCAAGCGATGCGGCAACCCACACGGCTCTGGAGGCACATGCGCTCATGGGCGTCCCACCAGAGATGGTCCCAGCCGCTCCGCACCCGGGGATGAATGCGCTCCTGGGATGCGAAACATGTCTACAAGTCTTTGGGACTGGACATCGCCGGCGACAGCGAAATAGCTTGGTGTGGTTGAAGTGGACCACTAGACCACTAGGCAAAGTCATAGCCGCTGCCCAAGGGACCCCTAATGACGAAAACACTCTCCAACAAAAAGGAGTCGGAACAATTAGTATATACAGTATTAGAAATGTGGCATTACATCACATGATGATAGGTTCACCAGGTGCGGGTCGATCCATTCTGCAGCTATATGCTTGTAGAGGGTTCAGGGGTATCTACGGTAGAGGCGCAATTCATCCAGAAACTCACAAGCACCACCTGGTACAAAGTGTTCTTCCCTAAACCTTCTATAAGATTATGAATTATGTTTTAGGAACCTTCTTGATTCATATTTTCTTTGTAAATCAAGAAACCAGCAACTGTGTAAGGTGAAAACCTTGGTACAGTAAACGGTTTGCAAATTCATATTTGATCTGGTGGATCCCTAAACCTGCTCGTCCAACTGGAGGAATGCGGAGTCCAGCCCCGAGCTCGTCCAAAGGGCCCAGGGTTTGCGCAGAGATCCAGGCCAATGCAGGATCTTGGGGCCTCCCACCAAGGAACCGCTCCTGGAGGCTGCGAAGAAAGGTCTGGAGCTTCTGATAAGGGGGGTTGCTGGCTTGGTTCCAATGAAGTCGGAACGTCCAAAGTGGTACAACAAGTTTTGGACCTGCCCACAACCGGGGTAAAGAATCTAAGAAACAATGTGTTTTGTTTCAGTAGTGGAATATATATATATATATATGTTATTGCGCGTGCGTTTCCCTCACACATCAACAAGACTTGCATAGTGCTGAGCCATGCCTTCGTGAACTAGTGAGCCTATGAAATTACTGTGGACATCAAATGTGTATATAGAACAACTCGAAATGATACCCCAACATACCCCAACCATGAACAATGGAGCCTTTGCCGTGCTCAAGGCCACTGTCCCGAGGCAACAGCGATGCAAACTGCAAGGTGAGGCCTCTGGGAGTGGTGAAACAACGCCAGCCAGGCGGACGTATACCGGGATGCAACATTTTGCTGCAACTTGGCATATGTTTGCCTACTCTGAGGTGCAAATGCCCGCGTGTGTGTGTGTGTGTGTGTCACTCTCTCTCTCTCTCTCTCCCTCTCTCCCTCCCTCCCTCGCTCCCTCTCTCTCTGTGACCACCCTGGTTTCAAAACCCTTTTTACCAAGGAAGCTATGCGTGATAGTGGAAGCCGGGTCCGATAAGCTAGGTGTACCTGCAGTTTAACGACGTTGGGCTGCCATACTCCACCCGCTCTAAAGCCAATCAGGCCGTTTATGGCTTGCAGTAATGTGCTGGTGTTTCAGGTAAACACTGCATGCATAGCTGAGGCTTCCTGCCATTTCCCGTCAACACCTAGGTTGGGCGACAGCCGCAACATACCATTTTCTGGATATATATATATAACTCTTTTCACGGGTGTGTGCATGCGTGCGTGTGAGGAGCTACTTCTTGCACACCAGCACGAGCCCCTGTTGAAACCTCAGCATGTGACACGAATGCCACAGCGCTTGGTCTCCTGTACAGGAAGTCGGTCGTGCGCTTGATGAGAGACCGGGTGCTGAACTGCTTCGGGTCATGAACCCCGAAGTAGATCATGGAGAAAAGACTCCTTAGATGTTGGATCACCTGCTTTTTGCATTTTGTTTATCAAGCTTCATTTGGGTAGACCTTCCTGAGAGTCTAGCAGCCCAAAAGAAAACGACGATGAAAGCTCCAAGACTCTTGAAGTCAACGAAAAAGTTGTAGTCGGCTGGCAGCCTAGGATGCAGCCACACATATCCGAAGCGAGCATAGTGGGGAAGGAACAAACAGGACCTAGTAGCAGCGTAGCATAATCAGAACCTTCAACAGCTCAATTTCGAAGACTTGGCATTGACATCCTATTGTTTTCAGATCCTGAAGTTTGGGCAAATGGATGACGAACATTGGATGAAACAACTGCGGTGGCCGAGCAACACACAATGCATCGGATGTGCAAACACAGGATCCACAGGAGCAGTTTTGTTCTCTTCCGGCCAGTCACCAGTCAAAAGGCCCAGCTGCCTCTGGCGCAGTTTCCGGTGCATGGTATCCCGCAAGTTTAGACGTCTTCATATGTCCACTTGGGTATCGTTTTACTTCGAACAAATCCATACAAATCCATGCAAACAGAAACGAACAGTTTTAAGTTTAAAATTTCAGGTTTTTTGTAGAGAACCTCTACTAAATGGTAATTCCGGGCAAAACGACCCTATACAAAATGAAAGTCCAAGAACAATTTCTCTACAGAATGGCACCCCAAGCTCATGTCCGGGAAAGGTAGACAAGCCGCAAACAAACATAAAACGAAACAAAAAAACTCTTACAAAATGACACTGACCTGGCAAACAACTCACAACAATACAAAAAAAACGCCTCTACAAAATGATCTGACACACTCACACAGGTAGCGTTTTTCCCACAAAAAGTAAGGGGCAAGTTGCTGCCCAAGCCATGTTGTAGGGCAAGTTTTCCTCTTAGGAAGGTGGGCATGACTCGGAGCAGAAGAAGGAAAAGAAAGCAAAAAAGGAACATGGGGGTGGTCAAGCCAAGCTTTGTCCAATGAATGCATGACCTGATCGGGCAAGGGCTCAGAAAGAAAAAGGTGTTGAAAGCTTTTGCGTCAGACGCGGTTTAGTGAAATAGCTTTTTAGGTGCAATGGCAATGGCATTGCTTTTTGTAGAAGCAACTTGCTGTCTCAGCCATTTTGTAGAGCCATCTTTGCATTGAGGAAGCTCCAAATGCCTCCGAACACAAAAAGGAAAAGAAAGCAAAGAAGGACCATGAGTCCAGCCGGCATGGGGGGCGCATGTGCAATCCAAGATTTGTTCCAATGGATGCATTGATTGGGCCAGGGCTCGGAAAGCACAAGCTGTTGGAAGAGTTTAAATCGGAGACTCTTCAGTGAAGTAGTATTGGTATGACACGAGCACGGTTGAACATATCTTTTTTTTGTAGGAGCCTCATGCTGGTTCAGCCATTTTGTAGAGTCAGCTTTCTCCTCTTAGGAGGGTGTGCATTTTTGCTGATGTCATGTCATTCCCATCTTTTGAGATTTGGCATTGCTTATTGCAGGCTAGACGCATGCAGAAGTAGACATGATGATAACTTTTTCTTGTCCGCTGCTTGAAATTACATCTGGACAACCAGCACTGCCGCTCATCGCTCCATGCTGGAACTGGCACTTTATCACAGCAGCCTGCGACCCCGCAAACTTTGGGGTAACCTGGTGGTGGTGGCATATTTGCCAACAGGCCTTTGGAAA